CCTGTCATCCCCATCCCTTCACAGAGCCCAGTCCCTTCCACTCAGCCTCAGTCCTTCAAGCGCCTCGTCATTTCAGGAACAGACCCACCTTTTGCTGGTAGAAGGGTGACTCCCTGGAGGTTAGTGAAGAATTAGAAATAATTTAATTTACCTCCCTGTTCGGGTGCTTTGATGAGCTGAAAGGCCCCTTGTCAGGCAGCGAATCCATCTTCCTCCAGCCTTACATCAAATTTCATTCACTAATTAGAAACTCCTGCCCCGGAGCGTGCTGCCCCCACCCCAGCCGCCCCTTCTCCCCACCAGCACCATTATGAAAATAAATTGTTCCATTAGCCGCATTGTTGTGGCTGTGGGGCCCAGTGCTGGGAGTTATTAGAGCAGGAAGGAGGGCGTTGGATTAAGACGAATGATTTATTAAGGAAAAGGACCCTGATTAGATTCTTACTCGTCCCCTGCGCACGGGCGCGTACTCACACACCCCCCGTCCCGACGCCCGGGGCACCCCAGAGCCACCCGTGGAAGGTCAGCGCCGATGGCAGCGGGGTTCCCCCGGGGCCGTATCCTGCTGGCTGCTCCTGCGGCACTGGGAGCCTCTCATCTCATACTGGGACAGTGTACGAGGTAACGGCTGACGCCGGCTGCCAGACCCCCTGCACGGTCCCCAGCCACCCCTGCCTTCCCCTCCCTCGTACGGAGGGTGGGGGACCACCAGTGTCACCCCCAGCCCTGCCTGCCCTGCAGCGGGGACCTGCAGCGGGTGCTGGGTGGGTCCTGCTGACCGGGGAGGGGATACGGGAAGGGAAAGGTAGGCTTTGGTGTGTTAGCTCTGTACCCCGTGCTGTGGGAGGGGTGGGTGCCCCTCCAGCAGGAGGGTTGGCAGGGCTCACCCTGGGTGGGGGGAGAGGGTGCCAGCCCCCTCCGTGGGTCCGGGGTGCTCTCTGCACCTGGGAGATGTGGGGTGGGCACTGCCGCAGAGGTGGGCACTGCCGCGGGGTGCCCATGTCCTGTGGTCCTCACAGTGCCCATGCTGTCACCATGGGCCATGTGCATGTCCCCCGGCCTGTCCCTGGAGGGGACAGATGTCAGGGACACAAGGACACCTGGGTGCTCCAGACACTGCCTGGGATATAAAGTATCCGAGCTGGAAAGAGAGTAATTTGGGGGGTTGGATGGCGATGCTGAGGGCCGGGGACTGTCCAAGCCCGACCCGTGAGGTGGGGGGCATGTGTCTGTCCGGGGGATAAAGGTATGCGGAGGGGTGGCTGTGTGCGTCTGTCTGTCCGTGTCTGTGCAGGGACAGCGGGGCTGTGGTGTGACTCCCAGAGGCTGCTGCCTGCTAAAGCACCTCCGTCCCTGCCCGGGGGAAGCTGGCAAGCGCAGGCGGAGGGGCTCCGGGGAGCGGCGGGCAGCCCCTGCAACGGAGGTTTTTTTTGGCGGGGGAGGCGTTTGGGGCGCAGGATTGGCTCCGCAGCCCACACCGCGCACCCTCCTGGGGCTCCCGTGGGCCCGGGGCCAGGGCGCTGGGACCCCCCCCCCCCCGCCAACAGCGCTGCAGAGAGCAGGGTCCTGCCCCTGCCCCGGAGCAGCAGCACTCCAGAAAGCCATTAAGCGAAATTAAGCTAATGCAAGCGAGAGTGGAAGGTTGGTACGGGCTCCCTCTGCGGGCACCCGCTGGATGGCAGCGTGCGGGGCTGAGCTGGGCTGGGTAGCCTCTCCTGGGCTTTTTTCGGGGGGCAGCTATGGATCAGTCTGTCCTTGCCGAGAGGAGCATCCCTGCAACCTGCTGTACTGATGCCCACAGGCCCAGATAGTTCTGGGTGACGCCCCCCGTCGCCATCACAGCCCAGGCTATGGGGACCTGGTTGGACCCAGAGCTCCCGGAGGATGGGGACAAACCACCTCCTTGCCAGGAGATATTCCCCGCTCCATGGGGAAGGTTTGGTCTTGGAGTCCCGCAGGATCCTCACCTTGCTGTCATCTCCTGCCCGCACCGCTCAAAGGTGCAGTTCCCCACAAACAGGAGATGCTTTCAGGGTACTCTGCTCCCACTCCCTGAGCCCCGAGGCCCCCCCCCACCCCTTGCCTGGACCCCAGCACCCAGCCTGCCAGCCTGGGGCCAGGAGCAGGCTTGGCTGGCGCTGCCACGGCAGAAGGCCACGACAGAGGGACAGACGGGAGAGGCGGGGACAGGGACAGTGTCCCCCCTTGTTAACAGCGCCGGACCCTGTAGCCTTTTCAAGGCTCTGAATAGGGGGTGGTACCTCTCCTCCCCTGAATTTGGGGCCGGGGGAGTGTTGGCGCTGGTTTAACATGCTCAGACAGGGCTTGAGGGATGCGGGGGACACACACGCTATCCCAGATGGGAGCATGTGGGGGGTTTCTCCTGCCGCCACATGCCCTTCCTCTCCCTCCCGCCCACCATTCACATGGTAATGAGGACAAATTGATGGAGAGACATCCATTGTGGTACCCTCCAGCCCTGGCCCTTCTGCCGGCCACCCACCAGCATCCCCATCCATCACCACCCAGCAGAGATCCTGGTGGGACCCCCCCGCCTGGGGATGGCACCCTGGGAGATGGGGCTGCTTCAGGTGCCCACGAGCAGTGGGGCAGCCCCCAGGTTGCCCTGGCTCTCCTAGGGTTGAGCGATTAGACGGGGGGGGCATCCAGGGAAGGAAGAGCCCCCCATAAGTCCTGTCTGGCAGCTGGACATCATTTGGTCCTCACCATCCTCACCATGGGGCTTTATGGGGCTAGGGGGGAGTTAATGGGGTTTCAGGAGGGGAAAGACCTCAGCATCTTTTTTATGGGTTCTTCCCTTCCTCTCACTGCCCTGGGGCTGGCCCGGAGCCAGGCCCCCCCCCCTTCCCCTCCTCCCCCCCCGAAGCAGCCCCTCCCAGCCCCTCCTGGCAAGGCAAAGAGCTGTTCCCCCATACTCACTGATGCCATAAAAACCTGGGCCTGCAGATGGGCTGCCCACAGCGTCACGGGGCACCCAAAGGGCACATCCTCTCCCCTTGCATGCCCTGCCTCGGCTGCCCCTGCCGTGCCTGCGACGGCAGCCTGATTGAAATTTCACTCCATAAAGCGCCTCTCGAAAGCCTGACCCCGTGGGCCCCCTGGGGACCAATTTGTCCTTCTCTGTAATAAGAACCTAATTAAATTAGCTCAGCCGCCTCGCAGAGCCCTTAAATTAGCTGCGGTGATGAGGGCCCTTGCTGACAGCCTGCTGCCGAATTGCTCCGCACTCGCCATGCTGCGGGGTCCAGGGAAAGCCCTGGGGGGAACCCGCTGCCAGCCCCAGACCAGGGCAGGGCAGCTTGGGGATGGGGCAGGGGGTGCAGAGAGGGGGGTGTGGGTGGGACAGGTGTGGGGAGGCTGTGTGGGGTGCTGCCTAGCGGTCTTCCCTTCTGCTGGCATGGAGATGGGGTGGAGAGGGGGGACAGGGCTGGTGAGGGGACAGAGCCAGCAGTGACTAGCTCTAGTGTGATTGGAAACCCAGTGTAGGGGGTAGGGGGGGGTCCATCTTCTCCGGGAGCACTGGGTTAGTAGGTGTTGTGATGATGGAGATGGTGGGGAAGGGTGCCCCAGCACGGCCGAGTGCTGGGACGATGGGCCCAGGCTGGGATGGAGAGGTGTCCCCGGCAGCCCCATGGTGGCTGTCCCTCCTACGTCCTGCCCCACTTGCCCTAGTTTCCAGGTGGCCCCAGTGACAGCTTGGTCCCACATACGCTGGGTTGCTCCCACAGCGTCCAGCTGCCCACCTTCCCTGGGTACAGGGGAGTGGGAAGGGAGAGCTCGCCCTTACTGGTGGGGGGCACTGGGGTAGTCAAATCTTGCTCCTAGAGAAGCACAAGATGCCCTCTAGCCCTGCCTGCCCTGTTTATGATGGGCAGTAAGCGTCCCAGGTCCCTGCCTGCCCTCCCCACACCAGAGCTCAGAGCGCCCGCCTGGGAGATGATGGATTTATTGGGCTGTGTCCCCGACCAGGAAAGGTACATCCAGCGAAGAGACAAAAATACACCTGCCATCGGCCGCGCTCGCGCTCTCTCACTTCGCCCTGGACAACAATTACCATAAAAACTGTGCTTTAAAATAATCTTTAAATAATTTCTGCTTTTTGTTTAAAAAAAAAAAAAAATCCCTCCCCCCCCAACCAAACAGCTTTCCCCCCTGCCCACTCCTGTCTCACCCTGCACGCGCCCACACTGCCTCCCATCTATGGTACATACAAAGAGCAGATAAATAAATAAAGACGCGTGATGCTGCAGGGGGGACGCAGGTCACAGCCCCCCCCAGCCCCCTCACCTCCTCTAATGTGGAGCCAGGGGAGGCTGAGGCTCTAGCTAGGATTTTGGAGGGGGGACCGTGGCCGCAGCTTTGATGGGACTGCCCCCAGGTCCCGGGAGCGGGTGAGCAGCAATGAGTTACCCTGAGGGTTTGGGGTGCTGGGGGGTCAGGGAGGTCAGGCCAGGCAGGGTCTGGAGCTTGGGGAGTTTTTTTAGCTTTGGGGTGGGAAAAGCATGGCTTTGGGCTGTGCCAGCTCAGGGCGCGATGCCAGGGAAGCAAGGAAAGGAGCACTTTCTCCCCAGCTGCTTTCCTTTCCCCGGCTCCAGCAGGTTGGGGCTGCAGCCCCGGCTCTCCCCACCCCTGCTCCCACCAGTGCATGCCCGTGCCTGGCTGGCACTCGCACCCTGCTGCCTGCACGCCTGCCTCCGCAGCCCCCTCTTGCCAGACAGAGCCCCCCTGTGCTGTCACAGCGTCCCCACGGGCATGCCCAGCCGGGTGGCTATGGTGCTGGCTTTGGGCAGAGCTTGGGGTACCGCTCCCCAGTCTCTCACTCCAGCAGCACTCGTGTCACCAAGTTAGGGGTCTCGTGCCAGAGCCGTGCCAGCCCCTCCAGCCCTGTCCGTGCTTGGGCACCCCAGGCATACAGGGGCTGGTTTTGGGTGCCCCTCTGCACTCACAGTCAGGCTAAGGGCAAGGCACAGTGCCAGTACCTGGGTCACTCTCCTCCCAGTTGCCAGATCCCAGGGGTGGGAATGGCATCGCCCGCCCTCCCGCTCAGCCTGCCCAGCAAAGGGCCCTGGGATCCCTCTCCAAAGCCTCCCTGCCGGGTTCAGGCAAGCTGGGAGCCCCACGGGAGCAGCCTGCAGCCAGGAGCTCTCTCCTCTTCCCACTCCCCCTTGTCTATCAGACCTCCATCGTTAGCTAATTCTGCACACGCACACGCACATCACACGCACACACACAAATAGCAGCATGTGGATCCAGCCGGGGGCACCCCCATGTCCGAGGGGGGACCCTTCGTGCCTCCCCCCTGCCTCCAGGAACAGGGGGTGAGGAGGGGGCCATGGGCATGGAGGAGGCACACCGGGGAGCCCCATTGCCCCCCAACCGGGAGGTGGCTGTGCCCCGAGCAGGCAGGGCTGGAGGCAGCTCCCCATGGGCACCCAGCTTTGGGAGGGGGTGCTGGCCCCTGGTGAGCCGCCCCGCAGCCACCACCTCCGCCAGCAGTGCCGGCCACGGCCGGGGCGCACCCTCAGCTCTCCGCCCGGGGTACCCCCAGTGGGTGGAAGCTGTCGGGGGGCAGGAGCAGCCTGCCCAGGCGGTAGAGCAGCCCCGAGTACCAGTGCACGCCGTCCCCCTGTGCCCCTGGCCACCCCACCAGGCTGTGGTAGAGCCGGAGCGGCCAGAAGGCCAGCTGCGCCAGATGTTGCTCCTGCACCAGGGCGAAGCACGAGGCCACCATGCCGTCCACCACCAGCGTCCCGTGGCGCGTCAGCGGTGCGTAGGCTCCCACGTCCCTCCGGTTCCGCACCTCCACCACCTCGGCGGGCTGCAAGCCGCCCCCCCCTGCCGCCACCAGCACGAAATGTCCGGGGCGCACGCGGCTGGCGAAGGTGGGACGGAAGCGGGCAGCGGGCGCCGAGGCATTCTCGGCCACAAAGAGCAGGTGGGTGGGCGTCAGGGCCAGGCGCCGGGGAGGCTCCCGCGTCTCGATGACGTGGAAGGAGGTGAGGGCACGGGGCTCCTTGTCCAGGAAAGCCAAGAAGTCGCTGTAGGTGGGCCTGCCTGCCCCGTCCATCGCCAGCACCCGCTGGCCTGGGCGCAACGCCCACAGCGGCGTCCGGGCACCGTCCTCCAGCGTTGCCAGTGCCCGCCCAGGGAAGCAGCCCCCCGTCTTCGCAGCGGCCGAGTGCTCTGCGTGGAGAGAGAGAGGACAGGAGGGTTACCCATCTGCCAGACCCCCAGCACCACCCTTCCACAACGCACAGAGACCCTCCCAGGCTGCCCGTCTTTGCCCTCCCAGGGGTAACCCTGCCCTGCCATCACCTACGTGCACATGTCCTCTACACACCTCCAGCCACCAATCCAGCCTCCCTGGGCGCCTGCTCCCCCAGCCACCGTGTCACTGGGGGTGGCACTTGGGGACTCGAGCCACGCATGGCAGCACCTGCTCCCCGCTGTGGTGCCAGGGCACTGGGACTCCTCTGCAGAGCCAGGTCCCGAAACCTGCCTGGCCAGGGGAGCAGGGCACAGCCACAGCCCCAGATGAGCAAGACAGAGCCAGGGGGCACCTGGAGCTCGAAAGAGGGGAGGCAGAGCCCTGAGCCAGTGGCAGGCTGAGGAGCAGAGTGCCCGGTCGCACTTGGCATACCCACAGCATCCCCATCCCTTGCAGCGCTGGGCCTGGGTACTGCTGGGGAGGATGCTACAAGGAACGGCGCAGGGTGCAGCACCCTCCCCCCAGCAGTGCAGCACCTCCCACCCCACACTGCAGCCCCTTTCCCTTCTCCCGCCTGCTCGCCCTGTGCTCCCTGCACTGCTGATGCCAGCTGAACCCCTCTCTGAGCTGCAGGGAGATGTCACAGCCTCTGGCCATCATCAGGCAAAAGCCACCAGCCTCCTGGGCAGGGCTTCGCTAGCGAATGTCACAGCGTAAAGCACCCAAACTCTCTGGGGCTTGTCCCCTGCGATGGTGGCACAGCGGTCCTACCCCTCCCCAGATGAAAAGCTGCAGCAAGTCATCAAGTGTCACCAGGGGCCCATCCTGGTACTTAGCAGGGGCACCCTGGCTTCCCAAGGAATGCTGCTCAGCTCCCACAGCAGCCCTGGTCCCCCAAGCCCCAGCAGCCCCCATCTTAGTGTCTATTTGACGCCCTCCCACCATCTGCCAGGGGCCTCTCATCTAGGGTCCTGCTCCTGGCCCTGCACGGTCCCAGCCTCCAGCTCCCAGCCCCCCACAGGGCCCTCTCCCAGCTCCCTCATCTAATCCCTGAGTGTCCCCATCCAGGTGGCACTGCCCCCCATCCCTCCCCAGCTGTGAGCAGAGCCAAATCCCAGCCCCCAGGCCCATGAAGAGAGGCATCCATCTCTGGGACAGAATCCTTTTATTGCTCAGATGAGGTGCAGTGTCCGCCCCGTGCCTGCCCCCAAGGCCAGGTCCCAAGTCCTGCACCCCGCATCCCCGGGCAGGCGGCAGAGCCATGGGGAGGGGCTGGCAGAAGGGTGAGAGGGGCACCTGGCAGAAGCGGGGGACACAGCTGCTGGGCATGGAGGGGTGCACAGGTGCAGGGGGGGACCCGAGGAGACGCAATACATACAACAGGCCACGCGGCCATCCGTACAAAAATAAAAGCCATTTACTAAGACGCAGAGGCAGCCCGGCTGCCCTCTGTACACAGCTCTGGGGGGGTCAGGATATGCACCCCACAGCCTCCACCATGCACCCCCAGGCTCCCCGTGGCCTCAGGTATAAATATGGGGCGCCCAGAGCCCTGGGGAGCCACTGCAGAGCAAGGGGGCTGTGGCCAGCCTCCAGAAGCCCTCCAGGGCTTCGGGGCCCCAGTCTGCTACCCGGGTCACGGCATCCCTCTTCGATCGGTCCAGGGGAGCATCCCGGGATTCAAGAGCCTCTGTCCTTCTCCAGGGGCACAGCCCCACTCCTCTGGCCAGCCCCAAGGCTCTGGGGTCATGGTCCTTGCTTCGGAGCCTGGCCCCACTCCTCCGGCCAGCCCCACAGGGCACCCTGGGCTGTGGGAACCCCGGTCCTTCGCCCACGCTTTGTCCCTCTTCTTCGGGGGCGTGTCGCTCCCTCTCTGCGGCGCGGTCGCCCCACCTCCATCACTGGCCGGCGTTGCGCCCGTCCTGGCATCGGCACGGGGGAGCGGGTCAGCGCGGGGGACCAGGCTGACGTCTGGGGGTGTCAGGCCGCTGACCGCGGGCTAGGGCAGTAGGACAGGCAGAGTGCGGTGGGAGCCGAGCCCGGGGACAAGAGAAGCGGGGCAGCGCCGGCGTACCAGCCCCGGCACCCCCGCGGCACGGGGCGCGGCACACGGGGGCGGGGGCACGTCTGTGCGGCCGCAGCCCTCTCCCTGTGCGTGTGCACGCGTGTGCAAGCGCTCTGGGTGCAGGCACGGGTCTCCGGCACGGCACCGTGTGCCG